GAGATAGCAGTGGAAAAGCCGAAAATTGATTAATCATTATGCAAATTAGGTAATTAATATTGCACAGATTTTTACCCAAAACTAATCAAATCTGCGCATTAGTTCAGAGCATCTATGTGCCAAGTTTCATCAAAATCCAACAAGTGGTTCTTTAGATATCAATGGAACAGTCATGGAACAGCTAAAAATCAGCTAATTATCATGCAAATTAGGTAATTAATAAGCATGGATTTTTACCAAAACCTAATCAAATCTGCGCATTGGCCCAGAGCATCTATGCACCAAGTTTCATCAAAAACAGATGTATGGTTCTTGAGATATCAGTGGAACAGTCGGACACACATACAGACACACTAACTGCAAAGACTCCCTTTTTGTGCTTCGCACACGGGAGTCAAAAACATTAAAAAAAAAGAATTTTCAAATTTCAAGGAAGAAGGCTACTCAAAAGTTAAAATATGAAATTGTCTTTATTTTCAATGTTTTCCGCATCTTATGTTATAGGGATAAGGAGTATGAAGTGCAAATATGAAGTCATCATTTTTGGTTCAGAGAAAGATGATGCACAAAATGGAGTGAGTAAGTAGAGCATGTTTTGTATACGTTGTATTTTAAAACATTATTAAAATCTCAATGACAAAATGTGTTTGCATTTGCTATCTGAATTCGCCATCAAATTTACATTTTACGCACAATACGTTTTTGTCTTTTCAACAGAAATATGTGCACATAAGTGGAGATATGCCCTATATACGAAATCTGACATAACTTGCTATTTATCAACTAATTTACTTCTTGTCTTTACTACATTAAATCCTGCCAAGCATTGCTGTTTGAATTTGTCTTCAAGTACAAGTACAACTAACCTAGGAAGTACGTAATGTTTATGGTGGACGCAGTGGTAACACAAGTAAACCATATGTATTATAAATTCAAAATGGAGGAACCTTAATGGCAATACAAATCAAGAGTCTGATGTGCGTCTCAGAAATCGCTTCGCATTAAATATTGACTTTTTGTTCGTTGAACAGAAAATCCCACGTGATTCCATTCCTGACGTAACCCTGAAATGCTGAAATTCACAACCGAACTACAGAACCGCTCAGTGATGCTTAATTTTGATAGGAACAGTTAAGTATTCTTTCCTCACCTGAGTGTTGCCTTGTGGGTTAAGAGCTTGACGGAACACTTGAAGCGGTGATGTTCGACTGCTGCCTTATTGGTGTAGGCACTTGTGTGGGAATATTAGGATACGACACAGTAACCCTTGGCTGCTGTAATTGATTTTGGCCAAGTGTTGATTGCTGTGGCTGTGGCTGCGACTGAGCAATTTTATGCTGCTGTTGTTGCTGCTGCTGCTGCTGTTGTTGTTGCTGCTGCTGCTGCTGCTGCTGCTGCTGTATAGGTTGTTGTGGCTGTAGTTGTTGTTGTTGAGCTGCTGGTGGTTGTGGCTGCTGCTGTTGCTGTGCTTTAGGTGTTACAATTGTAGTTGGTTGCCCAGGTGAAGGGTGACTTGTAGCAGTGGAAACTACAGGAACTAAACAAAAGGCTTATATTAAACTGACTGTAAAAATACTGTTAGTTTTTTAACTAAATATCGTATAAACCAGTACATCACTCTCCATTCACCAACGAGGGCACCCTCATGTCTTCAATACAAAAACACTTTGAACATTGTAAATACATGAACTAAACATTACAGAGAAATATGTGATACAAAAAAAGGTGAGAAATGTACAAAAAAGGAAAAATGGGAAACAAATTTAAAAAGTGTTTCACATGTATATGACACCTAGAAAATCGAGTGACCTAGAATGACCAAATTTGGCACAGTATTGCCAAAAGTGAGTGACCTAGATAAATCAAATGTGACCTAGATATAGACCAAATGTAACAGACATATCAAAGGTGACCTAGAAAAAAACAAACGTGCCCCAAAAAATACAAAAAGTGACATACAAATTATAAAAATTGCCTAAATAAAAAAAATCCTACCCAGCTTGTACAAATACGACTTGAAAAATTGACATGGTCCAGCAGAAAACAGTAAGAAGCACAAACATGATAACAAACGAAAATATAGTTCTACATAGGAAAATCATATTACAAACAGAGCACCAAAATCCTTACTATAAGTAAAAATATCATTGAAACTTTAATTACCTTGAGTTGAAGGTGGTGGTTTAAATACTGCAGTTGTATTCTGGGCTGCAGCTGAAATATAATTTAAATGAAATTATATTTATTTAAGGTATAGATGCAGGTTCGTGGGCACTTGAGAGTGAATTTTCTTTTTTTTTGCTTTTTATTATCCAAACAGTCTT